AATAATGTGTGTGTGTGTGTGTGTGTGTGTGTGTGTGTGTGTGTGTGTGTGTGTGTGTGTACATATAGTTTTCTTGACTATAAAAATAAGAATTTTTTATACTGCTTTTAAAATTTAGATTCAAAAAGTTTTTTAATTTATTTGTTGAATTAAAATATTGTGTTATCTTTATGTTTCAATTAATACTTTCAAAGTCATATGAATCAAAGTAATAAAAAAAATTATTATTTTGTAAATTAGAAGTGTAAGTTATACATTTAGGATATCATACATACTGTTACTAACATTACATACTATTACTAACATTAGAATTAGCATACCTGAAATATAACATGAGTTATGAGAATGATAAAAGTGCAGATTAGTTGAAGTTGAGACAATTTTGATTTTTGATAAGGCCATAAGCCAACTACTAACAACAGAGTTCGATTCAAATTGAAATACCTATCTACAACATTGATCATTTCTCTGTTGACAAACGGGTGTAACAAAGTTAAGATAAACGAAAATAACTGTATCTTTACTATTCAATTGATCAAATATATCTAATTTTTTTTCTTCTTTACAACAAAATTTTAGTGATGCATTTAAATAAGTCAATTTCTGTAATTTGCTATAATTCGAAAAAATTTTCAAAAATAATGTATGAAAGTACTATGAAATGCGGAGTAAAATACGGAATTACGGAACCTTCGCAATGTAAAATGTAAATGTTATGTAAAATGTAATTGAATAAATGATCTATTCAACGTCAAACGAATTTAAACAGATATTTTTTTCTCATAGAATTATAATCGTATTTAGAACTGTAGAAGTAGAGCTAGCGCAGGCGCTGTCACTTCACTTTAGCAATGCATATCATATCCATTCTAAAATGTTCCATTCTAAAATGTATTATTCTAAGTTATATTCGATTCTTCATGATCACAAGATCACTTAAAAGTTTGTAAGTAAAAGGATTCTTTTTATAAGAATTAAATTTTAAAAAATTTAATTTATATGTGTTCGTGCTTATAGTGCACATTTCCAAACATTTTGTCGCTCCTAGCAACTACAAACGCAATAAACGCAAAGTGCTCATATCTCGCTGTGCGCTTTATATTTACCAGTAGACCAGACAGATACGTATTACCTTAGCAATTTTTAATAATTAATAACGTATAGCTATAATTGCGAAAATCAAACAAACATTCGAAGACCTTTTTGCTCAGTCGAACTCGCTCTTGTTGCATAGCCGTCATATTATTTTGAATCAGACACCCTGTATATATTACTTAAAGACATACAACTAAATTTGATAAAACAGTCTTCAAACATTCGTTTACGGAAATATATATAAAAATATAAAATGGCAGATGTATGGGCGTATGAACATGTAGTATGTACGACGATGTGTGTCTGCATGTGAGAAAAAATAAAGGTGTGGAATTATATAAGCAGAAATGTGGAAGAATAAGTGTGTGAACATCTGACAAGAGTGTAAGACGGCAGATGTGTGAATGTATGAATGCGTGAAAAGAGGATGTGTGAAATTACATAGATGTATAAAAATGTGATTGTGTAGCTATGCAAAGATGTAAAAGTGTAAGTGGGCGCACTTGACAGCGTATGCAAGTCTGAGTATGTAGGTGCGGAGACACGCGTGACATCGAGAGGGAGTGTGAAATTGCATAGGCAGATAGGGGTGTGGAGATATAGGTGTGCAAACACGTATAAAAGTGTCGGATGTGTTACATATAGAAGGAAGTACGCGTGTATGCATTTATCAGTTAAAATTGAAAATTGTTTATTTTCCTTAAAGCCAGTAATGCAAAAGCAATAATCATAGGAATACGAGTAAGACGTTTCTCGATAAGAAATTTATACATTTTAATTTCGCATTATTATATCTCCACCAATAGGAGTGATAAAAAGAATAAAAAAAATTTTCTTAGCAAGTCCAAGTTATCGAATGTTGTATAAATGTATAGAATATGTTGTAACCTGTAATACACTATACTAAATAAAATATAATACACTATATTTCATTATTTTACGAAGTATATTGTAGATGTATTTCTTTCTTTTTCCACTGCCTTCCATTATAATATTAATTAATATTTTGTTATTGCATTGAGTACATGACAGTAAAATAAGACACGGATGCATTTATCAGCTGTAATAAATTATATTTGCTTTTATTTTAATTTGCATTACAAGAAAAACATATCTTTAATCGATTGTGATATATAAAATGATATGTACCGTAGCAAAACATTCTAAAGACGCTATAAACAATCCACCAACAGATAGACCAAAACTTTTATTACCTCTTTGTAATAGTAGCAATATCATTTTCTGTATATTTAAAGGAGCTATATACCATCGAACTTTATATCTAAATATAATAACAATACAAATAACTTAAGGAAAATAAGAACTTTTATGTACAATATGTATTTTACACAATATGTATGTATGTATGTATGTATGTATATATTATATTTATCATATACCATGTTAATATTTATTACATTTATTATTCTTGTATTACTAATTAAATCTGTAAATAGATATGATACAAAGTGAATATGTTACTTACGCCATGATGAATACGTGGTTATTATGATCTATAATTTGTTGTCCAACTAAATTGGCTGCGAACATGTAAAAAATGCATATAACTACAATTACAAGACACATTAAAAATTCTCCAGTGTTATATCCGGATAATACAATCTGGAAAATCTAATGCAACAAATGAATTTGAAATTAGAAATGTTTTTCTAAATAAGGTGAACACAATATATGATTGATATCACCAATTTTTTATGATAATTTAATATTGAATTATGAATAGTGCTATGAATTAATTATAAATTTTAGTTATACTTATATAATATTTTTTACTTTTGCTTTATAAGGGATCTTTAATAAATTTAATGACATTTTTTTGTTAAATAAAATATGGGACTGCAATTTTCTAAAGTTAATATCTGGACTTAAAATAAATAGTAATTCTATTTAACTTACAATAATTTTTTATTCAACTAATTCAGGAATCAAATATACAAATATTTATACACAATTGCACAATATTTCATATAATTTATATCTTTTTCAATTACTATATATCTCGAATTTTCGAATTTTAAATTCATGTAAAATTACTAAAATTCTTAATCTAATTGTAAAATATAAAAATTGTTAATTTAAAAACATAATTAAACGTAATTAAACATAATTAAACGTAATTAAATTATTAAGATAAAAAACAATACAAAAATATAATTTTCTATGTAAATTTATAAATAAGAAGGGGAACTTACTCGAAAAATATTTATGCTCAAAGAAATTACTCCAAATATTATTAAAAGCATGAACGATATTTCAAATCTGGATATTAAATAGATGCAAAATCTTAAAAAACAAATAGATGTTATTGATGTTATGCACATGTATTAAAATATGTATGTATTTGAATAAATTACATGAAATATGCAGATACAAACTTCATAGCTTTTCGATGAATATCTATAGCATGAATTATGCCTTTGTAAAGTAGAATATCTTTTTGCAGGCTAATATCTTTTGATATATAAATTTGTATAGCTTTATCGATACGATAACTATAAATAATTTTAATATAAATAATTATATAAAAATTTATTTTAAAGTGAAATAAAGTATAATTGTAAAACATAAAAAAACTACAATTTTGTTAAGCTGGTATATGTTTACAAATAATATTAAAATTGCAACATTAATAATATTACATATAAACTTAAGCAGTTAAAAATTTGAAATAATATGTTCAAAAATCTTTTATTTTGTTCTTAAGACTCTTGAGTAGTTACCGCAGCACATTGGAATTGTGACATTATAGGCGAGAAATGACATAATGAAGTTTATTGCGGTAGTTTTACAAATAAAAAGATATTTGATTAAAATAACATCTGATATGGCTTTAAGATACTTGTGAAAATGGGCGGCTGCTATCTTTTCTCTTCCTGATAGTTAATAAATAGCTGTAAAAGGCACGTGAAATGAAGCCTATTCAGGCAGAAAATACACGATTTGATAGTTGTTGAAAGAAGTGGAAAAAATGCTTTTGTATGTAATGTCCGAAGATAATTTTAGCTGCCGCCCAAATTTACAAATCTGGTAGGTACGAAATAAGTCACATCTGCACGATTAAGAACATAATAATGAAAATAGCCGCATTAAACGCAAAACCGCAAAAAATTTCATTGTCCGCACGTCACTTATATAAAGATGAACAAAGACAAGGATAAGATGAATAAGAATAAATGAGCTTCTACTTTTCACCGCGACAATAAGTCCCTATCGTTAACGCGGAGTTCTTAGCTGAGTACTCAGGAGCCTTAAATTACATTTTATCTTTTAAAATTTCATTTTTGAAACTTAAAAGTTTATATACATTATATTGCGTATCACTATAAAAAATTCTGTACATAAGGATTTCATTATTATACTAAAATAATATTATTTAAACTATCTATATATTTAGCATACTTTAGTATTACTTTATATTTTACAAAATAAAATTTTATAATTGCATCAAAAGAAATGTTTTTCAAAAATAAGAAACACAAATAAAACTTTTCTAAATAAAATTTCGTTATTTTTATGTTGATTATTTTACCTAGCAATTTTAAACATCCCGCATGCATGTTCATAATATGCAACGAGCATTGCTCCTGTCGCTAGCATTACGGCAAGTCCTATACTTATAGTTGCATTTAAATGGAACAAAAGTAAGTAAAAATATCTTTCTTGATCGATAAAATATTCGGTTGTAATCTGTAGGCGACGTGGTTGAGATTCATTTGTATCAAATAAAATTATATCATAGAAAACTGGCCATGATAATGCACTCATAATAACAGATGCGCTGGAAGCAAAAAGTACTAAATCATTATAAAGTGGCAATTATAAATACAACTTTTACATAATTTAAAATATTAAATCGTTATAGTGTATTGTGTATACAAAATATGAAATATTTTACACATAAAACTTTATTTTTTTTTCCATTTGAATGATTGATTCTATGATTCTTTTTTTAATATTAAAATTATTTTTGTATTATTTTATATTCTTCTTAATGATTATTAGACTTTTATTTATATATTAAATATAAGTTTTATCACTATAACAAATTTAATGTCGTGAAAGAATATTTTGTTCAATACACTTTAATATTTCAGTGTAACGTCTTTATATAAATTATTTTATTCATACTCTTTAAAAAATTATATGCAAAAAAGTATTAAGTTAAAATTAGTTTAATTTGATGATTATTAATTAGCGTGAGTTTCTTTTACTTATATTTTATTTATATTTTATATGTTAAGATATATAGTATGTATATTATAGTAGTATAATATTTTATGTAATTCAAAATAAATATTTTTGTGTTTTCTTACTTGCAAGGTATCTTGTATAATGTTTTGCATTACTTCCATATCTTTCTACAATGGCAATTTCATTATTGTCTCTTAAATTATTATAAATATGCTGGATTTGTTCCATTAAATATTTTATCTATTCTTTGAATATTAATTTATTTTAATAAAATGTTACATGTTATTACTCTCAATAAAATTTAAGAAAAATTGAGAGATATACAATCTTAAACATTAAAATATACTTATTTAAACAAATATAGAAAACACAATTGACTTACCGTTTGACGGTTTACATTAAAAGAATTATATTTTATGATAAATGTAATAACTGCAAATGAAGTAGAGAAAACTTTAATGATGAGATTTGCATTACATTTTGAAGTCATAATTGTTGTAAGCTATAAATAATATTATATTTTACAAAATTAAAATGAACATTATATTTTTTGTTTTAATATTTAATTATATATTGCATACTACTATTTTACTGTATGTAACAATTTTAATATACTGTATAATTAAAATTTTTATTTTGTTTTAATGTTATTATACGGCATGTATAACTTTATATGTAATATGACATGATTATAAAAAATTTATATACAAACATATGCATAAGCTTCTTGGATAAAAGAAAAATATTCTATTATTTATTGTTTCTAAAATTTACATTTAGAAAATTTTTTAATTTATTTACTCATTTAAGATATTGTATTATC